TAAGCATGCAGCTTGAGAATGAATCTAAAATGGATGCTGTCCAGTAGGTGGGAGGGTCTGCTAGGGAGGGTGTGCTGCTAATTGGCTGGAATGTGTCTGCTGACTGTGAGGTACAGGGTCAAAGCTTACTCAATGATGACGAATAGGGGGCGGATCGAACCGCGCATATGTTCGCCTGCCGTGGCGAACGCGAACACGCTATGTTCGCCAGGAACTATTCGCCAGCGAACCGTTCGGTACATCACTACTTCCAACAAATATAGCAAAGGTACATTCTCAGTATGTACCATTGGGAAATAAATATAAAAGAAACAAATTAAAACCAATGTGGTTTAGTAGAGAAGTAAAACAAGAGATTACAACAAAGAAAAGGGCATTTAAAGCATTTAAATCGGACAAATCAGATGCATCTTATAAAAGATATAAGATCTAATAATGCGTGCAAAAAGGCAATTAGACTTGCTAAACTTCAAAATGAAATAATGATAGCTGAAGAGAGCAAAACCAACCCCAAAGCATTCTTTAAGTACATAAATTCTAAAAAACAAACAAAATCAAAGTGTAGGTACACTAAAAACTGAAATGGGGGTGTTAGTTAATGAATACCAGGAAAAGGCAGGAATTTTAAATAACTATTTCTCCTCCGTATATATTAAGGAAGAACCCATGGCAATAAATGTGCAAATTATTGCTACTAAAAACTTGCAGAATAATTGTAATTGGTTAACTCAAGACAAGGTGCTGCAGCAACTAAAGAAAGTTAATATAAACAAAGCTCCAAGGCCTGACGTATCCATCCACGTGTACTTAAGGAACTAAGTGCAGAAATAAAAAAATCTTGAAAGATTAAAAACAGAGGTTCACTTCTTTCAGGAAGTGTTCCGGAGGATGGGAGGAAGGCAGATGTGGTTCCTATATTCAAAAAGGGTTCAAAATCCTTGCCTGGAAATTATAGACCTGTGAGCTTAACCTCTGTGGCTGGTAAAATAGTTGAAAGGTTATTACGGGATAATATTCAAGAATTCCTTGAGTAGAACATGGTTATCAGCAAAAATCAGCATGGTTTTATGAAGCACAGGTCACGTCAAACTAACTTGATTGCGTTCTACGAAGAAGTAAGTAGAAGTATAGATCAGGGTGTTGCCGTGGATGTGATCTATTTGGATTTTGCCAAGGCATTTGATACAGTTCCACACAACAGATTAGTGTTCAAACTCAAGGAAATCAGTCTAGATGAAAATGCTTGTTCTTGGGTAGAACATTGGCTTAAAAACAGAGTACAAAGAGCTGTCATTAATGGTAAATTTTCAAGCTGGACAGAGGTGGCAAGTGGTGTCCCTCAGGGGTCTGTTCTGGGACCCCTTCTATTTAACATGTTTATAAATGATCTTGAAGACCGCATTGAAAGTCATGTTTCAGTGTTTGTAGATGACACCAAACTTTGTAAAACAATACAATGTGAGCAAGATATTACTTTGCTGCAGAGGGATTTAGATAGACTGGGGGACTGGGCACTCAAATGGCAGATAAAATTTAATGTTGAAAAATGCAAAGTTATGCACTTCGGCGTAAAGAATACACAAGTAACGTATACCCTTAATGGAAGCGAATTAGGGATAACAACGCATGAAAAGGACTTGGGAATTGTTATAGACAACAAACTATGCAACAATGTGCAATGTCAATCAGCAGTGGCCAAGGCCAGTAAGGTATTGTCATGCATGAAAAGGGGCATTCATTCTCGGGACGAGAATATCATTTTGCCTCTTTATAAATCACTGGTAAGACCCCATATTGAATATGCTGTGCAATTTTGGGCACCTGTTCTAAAGAAGGATATTATGGCACTAGAAAAAGTGCAGAGGCGGGCTACAAAATTAATAAAAGGAATGGAACATATCAGCTATGAAGAAAGGTTAACAAATTTAAACCTATTTAGTTTAGAAAAACGTCGCCTGAGAGGGGATATGATAACATTATACAAATATATTCAGGGCCAATACAAACCATTGTGTGGAAATCTATTCACAAACCGGACTTTACATAGGACACGAGGCCATGCGTTTAGACTGGAAGAAAGAAGATTTCATCTAAGGCAAAGGAAAGGTTTTTTTACTGTAAGAACAATCAGGATGTGGAATTCTCTGCCTGAGGAAGTGGTTTTATCAGAGTCCATACAGATGTTCAAACGGCTACTAGATGCATACTTGCAAGAACAGAATATTCAAGGATATAATCTTCAATGTAGGGTAATAACTGCTTGATCCAAGGATAAATCTGACTGCCATTCTGGGGTCAAGAAGGAATTTTTTTCCTAGCTTGTTGCAAAATTGTGCTTCAAACTGGGTTTTTTTGCCTTCTTTTGGATCAACAGCAAAAAACAAATGTGAGGTAGGCTGAACTTGATGGACACAAGTCTCTTTTCAGCTATGTAACTATTTAAAAAAAAATATATATTAAATTTTTTAACATTGTATTTCACTACCTCCTCCCTGGTTATCTGGCCAAGGAGGAGGGAGATCTCATTCCGGGGGCTTGGTGATCTGATCCAGCCGCTGGATCACACACTGACTTCACTTCCCAGCAGCTTCTCTCTAACTCTCATGGTCTGCCTGCCACGTGGAGCGTTGCCATGGTAGACTTCAAGACTTCATGAAGGGATAAAGCATTCTGTTTTAATGGTAGCCACACTGGCCTTTTATGCAAGTCCCCATGCAAGGGGTACGCCCACATGGACCTAATTTACACCAAGACACAAAACAGTGATTAAATGCCTGACACTCCCACAACATACATACAATCCCTCCTCCCTGCTTGGGTGATAATTGGATTAGTAACTGTACTAATTCTAATCCAATTATCTCCAAGCACAGAAAAAACACTTTTTAAAAACAGCACCTTAAACATACATAAAACCCCACAAATGTTAGATCCCCTGATCTGGGTAACCAACATATCCAAAAATCACCCATATCAGTTCAGGCATTCAGAAGTTTTATTAAAGTCATAGTTTTTACGTACCACATGCATGTTCCAATAGCCGAAAATAGTTCCATAGAATCGTGGCTAAGAGCCGCTGGAGAACCGACCATGAACTGCGAGGTTTTCATGCCGAAAATAGTTCCAGGGCATTCGCAGTTAAGTCCCCCTGAAGTCTATTCGCGTTTTTTGTCCATGCGAACAAGATGGCCACCACCACGTGGTCAAAGGGCACTTCGAATGGCTTCAGGAGTTCAAAGTGCCACTTCGAAAGTTCGAATGGTTCCTGTTATAAGTCCCAACAGGCACAAATAGTGTTTTCCAATAGAATTTGACACAGGGACAATAGTCACACGGTAAGAGGCTGGCAAACTTAAAGAAACAATAACCACAACAGTCCACTATTCTGTGACTTGCTAGGGAATAGTGATGTGGAGTCATAGGTCGCCGGTCGGCATCAATGCAGAGTAGGTACCTGCCTGCCCAAAATGGCAGGTGCCTACTCTGTTTCTGTGTCGGGAGGACCCGGAAGCAGGGGGAGGGAACTGAGAAGCAGCTCTCCCGTCCTCCCGCGAGCAATCTGTGTGGAGCGTTGACGTGCATTACCATGGCAATGCTCCACACAGCATTCTGCGCGCGGGAGGACAGGAGAGCTGCAGAACCTGTACTACTTACCACCACGGCTGGCTGTGTCCCCCCCTCCTTCACCAAAGGTAAGAGAAAGGGAGAGGGGGAGGAAGGGTGGGGGGGAATACAGATTTTTAAAATATATTTGCAGCAGCACCCCCTGTGATCCTTGTCTTCAGGTAGCACGGTCCTCTTGGGCACAAACATGCACAGTCTTTTAAGGCAACTTATTTCCAGGCACTTTATTGTTAAACTCCACAAAGACAGTAGCACATGAAAAACAAAAATGTAACAAAACCTTATTAACAAAAACCTAGCTCGGTCTGAGCACTAACATCCAGTTCCCTCTCTCAAGGGTTTAAACTAGAACAAAACAAGAAGTGGTTTCACAAACCTAGTGTCTTTGTCAGCTCTCAGCACTCCAGTGTTTAGACAGCCTGCTGCTTCCAGCCCTTCAAGAGAGAAATAAACATTCACTCTCTTTTCCACACTCCCAGTGCTCCAAGCCAGCCTTGACCGCTTTCCTTTTGCACTCCCAGTGCTCAGTCTCCTTGCCTCCCGCCAACCTGCTTCCAGGAAGAAAGCCAAAAATCCCCCTTTACCTGCATAGCAGGGAGGGGTTTATTCCCACTGCTACAGCTGATTATCTGCAGCTGAGCAGTGGGTTGGAGACAGTTCCAAAAACCTCCTGCCTGGACCGGATTTCTCCCAGTTGTGTATAAACTGAGGAGTGGAGCATTGGCCCATCCTGCTCTCCAAATGCTCCACCCCAGAGGCCCATGACTAAACAGTGGTTTGTGTTGCCTACAACACATACTCCCCCTGGGGTTAAATGTTATAGGCCTATCTGCCTTTACTTTATCACACCCCCCACATACACACAGCACCCCCTCACACACAAACACAGCACCCCTCAGAGACCCACAGCACTCTGCACCCATACACACAAACACTGCACTCCTCAATGCAGTATGTATTCAGCAGACTGTGTGTACTCAGCAGTCTGTGTGTGTGTACACAGTGTGTTTATTTAGCAGACTGTATATTCTCAGCAGTCTGTGTGTATGTTTGTGTGTGAATGTGTTGAGCACGCTGTGTGTGTATGTATTCTATGCAGGGCCGGCGCTTCCTATAAGGCGAACTAGGCAGCCGCCTAGGGCGCCATATAGGAGGGGGCGCCCTGCGCCCCCATCGCCG